CCCCCCCCGCACTCGATCCCACTAGAATGTAATCTCCACCGGAGCAGGGAACTTGGTCTGTCTTGTTTACTGATGTAGCCCCCCCAGGGCCTCATGCAGTGCCTGGCACAAGGCCGGGTTCAGTAAGTATTCGTTGAATGAACGCCTACTTCAGATGGCCAGGAAGGGGCTTCAGAAGGCGGGACTGACTTTTGACAGGGGGTCTCTGGAGGATCCTTCCTAGCATGGACTCGGATGCAAGCCAAACTTCACCCCATCTCGTGCCCTCCCGGCAGGCCTGATTGCTGAGCAGTTCCTGGAGACCACCGCAGCCCAGCTGACCTACCACGGACTGTGTGAGCTCACAGCAGCTGCCCGGGAGGGCGAGCTGAGCGTCTTTTTCCGAAACAACCACTTCAGCACTATGACTAAGCACCAGGTGATGGGGGTTTGGAGGTGGGGCTTGGAGCCCTGTCATTTCCTGGCGCCTCTTTCTCCTGGCCCGGGGTTTAGCCAAGCTGTGGTAACACATGACCCCTGAAATCTCAGTGGTTTACCACAGCGAGGGTTTATTCCTCACTCACGCTGCATGTGCTGTGCTGTGGGTTGGCTGCAGGGCTATCCCATACCTTCCTCAGTCTGGGACCCGGGCTGACAGAACAGCCTTTATCTAGAATATACGAGGGAAGAGAGAGAGAGAGGGACACCAGGCATTAGCCCTTAATGCTTCTGCCTGGAAATGACCCATGTCATTTCTGCACAATCTCTTGATCACAGCAAGCCATAGGCTAAGCCTGCCATCCGAGGCAGAAAGTGTAATCTGCCCTCAGGAAGGAGCAGGTGAATTTTTTTATCAGTACTACAGCTTTCCACAGTTAGAAATTGCCTAAGCTCTCTAGGAATTGAGTAGAAGAAGGAGAGGTCATTGGTTCTCAAGGGGTCTGTCCTCACAGCCATCAGGCGAGGCCAGAGCACCCCCGGAGGGAGAGTGGGAAGGAGGAGCTGGTGTGCCACCCCAGCCCCCGAGGGCTCTACGCTTGACCGCAGTGACCGCCATACCCACGCCCACCTGGACACACGGATGTTTAGAAAGGCTCCCAGACGCTCACACGGCCATGGTCCGGCTCACACGCCAGCTGATTCCAATGGTCTCTAACTAACCGTGCGTCTCAGATGATTTCTGGCCAGAAGTAGCCTCCATGTCACCTGCCCCTCAGTTAGCTCTGTCCTCTTCTCTGCAGAGCCACCTGTACCTACTGGTCACCGACCAGGGCTTCCTCCAGGAGGAGCAGGTGGTGTGGGAGAGCCTGCACAATGTGGACGGAGACAGCTGCTTCTGCGACTCCAACTTTCATCTGAGTCACTCCCTGGTCAGGGGGCCTGAGGCGGAAGGTGGGAGTGGCTCCCCAGAAAAGCAGCGGCAGGTAGACCAGGTGTGTGGGGAAAGACCAGGTGTGTGGGGAAGGCGCAGAGGTCCCATCGGTCACCAAGCCTTTTGCCGTAGGCAACCTGCATGCGTTCTACCGTCTAGAGACCCTAAATCTGCCATCCAGCCTCCTTTCAGTCCTCCCTTACCTGGGGGCCATCCTTGCCGGCTATGTCTTCTTGGACACCATAGATAATACACTTGGCTGTGTGTCTTGCTCTGGAGAAGGAGCTTGAGAATTTGAAGAACGGGGAAAGACTGATTTGGAAAGCTGGCTGGAATATCCCCCCAGGCCTCAGCCGGCCTCACAGCTCTCACTTTCCCGCCCCCACACCCCCAGGACTACCTGATTGCCTTGTCACTGCAGCAGCCACAAGGCACGCTGGGGCTCAGCGACTTGGAGCTGGCTCAGCAACTTCAGCAAGAGGAGTATCAGCAGCAGCAAGCGGCCCAGCCCGTGCGGACGCTAGTCCCCTCACCACAGGTGAGCCTGCCGTGCTGGGCCCTCGCTCGGCGCGTGCCCCCCCCACCCCGGGAAACCC